GTCCCAGGCACAGTGCAAAACCCTCTTCTCCTTGGCGATAACCTTTCTGTGTGCTCACATTATGCATGTATTCATGTGACTTCCTCTGCCTCACTGCCACCTCTTGATTTGAATAAAAATAATTTATGTGGACATTCCTTCAGTCAGGATTTCCCCCCCAATAATATTTCGTTGATGCTCTGAACCCAAATGGGGTCGTTATGCTTTTGCATATCATTAGGGCTTTATGAAGAACAACAGCGACATCTGCATGTGCCGCAGTGCCACAGAGATGGGGAAAATACAGAAAACAAACCCCAAACGAGCTCCAAGCTCATCTGGCTCTGTCTTTCCTCAGTGCCTTTGCCTCTATCACGGACACAAGTAATTGTACAGTGTAATCACATCACAGCTCATCTGAATATTCATAACCGACACAAAGACTTGGAGGAGAAGTGGGGAGGAAAAGGAAGGTAATTTAAATATAAAACAGCATTTCATTTGGAAGCAAAGTTCCCCGTCCAGCTCAAGAGATTGTCTTGGTACTGATTCTGTCTGTCCATCTCCCATACAGCAGCGTGGGCAGCCGCAGCCCCCACTGGGCAGAGAGAAAATAAAGCACAACAACAAACAGCGGCAGGACTGCCCCCAGCCAAAGCATGTTTGAAGAGTCGCCAACGGTGGCTAACCAGCTGCTGGTCTCCAGGAAAGAAACAGTCTATTGATGGAGCTTTATAAAGACCCCAATTAATATGTTGTGCATGTATAAGATCTACAAAGAGCCCACTGTATTCCTCCCCCCGCAGCCACCACCTCCTCTTCCTGATCAATGCCAGTGGAGAAGGATCTGTGCTACCAAATAATTGATTAATCACTTCAGTGGTGAAAACGCCCCTCTCCAAAACAGAGAAGAAAAACAAACACAAAAAGAGGCAACAGTTTGCTAATTAGCGTGTAAATTACCGCTGGTTCCATCCTGCTTTGTGCCTTTAAAAAGGAAAAGAAAAGGGAAAGAGTAAATATAATCCCCATCTTAATGTATATGCTGTCTTCATTTCTTTTGCATTACTTTGGTATCCTTCACCAGTATGAACACAGCAGTGTGATGTTGAAGCTGTGACTGGCTCTGCTAGTCCGTTCCCCAAAGAGCTCCTATTTCCATTCCACTGGAGCTTATATTCCTTTAAATGTCTAGCGCGGCATCATTTCCCCCTTTCTAATACATCACTCTGCTGGAATTAGAAGAATCCAAGGTTATATCCAACTTCAAAGGTTTCCAAGTCATCATGATTTTAGCAAAAGTAGAAGACAGATCATGGAACAAGTCCCTGGCTTTTGAAGATAGGCATCACAGGGACCTTCCTCCCTCTGCCTCGCTCTCGCTCTCCCACTGTCTCCCCCCAACTTTGTACCTCTCCAGCTCTGAATGTCCCGCGCTAGCGTGGTTTAATGATATGCAAATGAAATATGCATAAAACCATTCTACTGTATGATGATTAAACACTGGAGACATTAGCCGCCGACGCTTCACTGTTTGACTATAATAATCTTCCCCGAGCATCCACTTTGATTGCGGAGTTATGGAAACCCATAGCAGTTGGCAGAGAGGGAGTAAGAGGGAGCGAAGCAAGGAGAGGTGCAGGGATGTATCACCCATCTCTGCATTTATCCCACTCCAGGAGACATTTCCCCTCTTTGTACTGCGTTCCTACTGCTGTCTTTTGTAATCCATCCATGCGGTCGCACCAGGGCAATTAACGGGAAAAAACCCTCTTTTCTCTTAATGTTTCAAAGCTCATTAGCCAAACGATTATTCCTCATTAACAGCGAAAGCTCATTCATTAAAAGAAAAAATATGCCCAAAAGATGCCAGCACTGTTAATCCCGAGCCCTGTAGCTGGGCTGTAGATCCCATGCTAGTATTTTCCATGCAGAAGGGAAGTGCACCAATCCACAAAAAAAAAAAAAAAAAAAACAAACCACCAGGCAAAAAGAAAACATTTTTGAGTTTTGTAAAATCCGCAAGAGAGGCAATTAATATTCCCATTGTATGACTTTATTTTTTGTCTCTCCCTTTTGTCTCCAGTGCCCTTGCCTGGCTCAGCGCCCAGTGCCAACAGAACACCTTGCAGGATCCTCAGCAGCGCAGACAACGTAAGTAGCTAGCTGTCCCTTGATGCCCTTGTGCAGAAGCCCCCGCGCCCTGCGGACCCCGTGGAGCGCCCGCACGCCTCCGTCCCTCGCTCGCCCTCCGAGTGCCACCTGGGCTTCACAAGTAGCACCTTCCAAATCTCTCTGTCTTCAAGTTTGTGCATGTCTGTGTGGCATCCCTCCTCCTCCTTCACTCCCATAGTGGATCTCGTGAAGGGCTTCAGATCGGCCCCATTCATCTCCCTGGTGATAGCAGTGAATGTAGATAAATCTCTGCTGCCTGCTTGCTGCTCCAGTATGATTTTTATTTTGTCTTCCGTGTACACCTAGGTCAAAAAGTGGGATGTATACTGACGGTGGGTGAGAGTGTGTGTGCGTGTCTCCTCCTCAGTCCCTGTCGTTCTCTCGCACTGAGGCACACAAACACACATCTCCCCGCGTGTGTTACACGCGTGCACACACATAAACACCCGCACACGGACGCGCGCGTGTGTGCACGGAGCACACACACATCTCCTCACCCCACTGACACAGCTCCTGTGCACCGACCCCAGGCGGTGTGTGCTGTGTGTCTGTGTGTCTGTACGCACTGTTCCGTGTGCGTGTGCATACACAGGCATCTCGCTACACCGTCAAACATTCCCTCTCCTCCCAGCAGAGGCTGTGTGCAGGCTGATCCTGCCCTGTGAGAGCGGTATTCCTTCCTCCCTTCCTTCCCTCGGCTCTTCGGAGACCTTTGCGTTCCCTCCTCGGGGTCCCTCCTGAGCTGCAGATTTGGCACCTTTCCCTGAGGTTGTCCAAATGGCAAATGGCATCGGCCGGAGTTCGCATTCTTGCGGCTTCTCTGGGCATTTCTGCCTCCATGTCGACTACTCCCTTTTGTTTGTTGTTGACTGGGCTGGGTGTGGTTGGGGTTTTTTTGGCATTAATTGTAAAAGAGCCTGAATGGCAAAACACACCAACAGCTTGCGGGGGAAAAAAAGCCAAAAAAAAAAAGCAAGCCCCACACAAACGCCTTCTGCTGCGACAGATGCCCATGTTGCCCCTGGCATGGAGAGCGGGCACAAGGGGTTTGTTGATGAGGTTTTGTCGATTGCTGTGTTTATTGTTCGCATTTCCCTTTTCCATTTATTTTTAAAGACTCCAAGATGCCGGCCTCGGCTTGGAACGGAGCGGTGTCATGGCGGAGACGACGGCCTTTGTCTCGCAGGGTGTGAAAGCATCCGTTGTGCTGGCTCCACTGCGGCAGAATGATGTCTAAAGGGGGGAAAAGTGCTGGAAGTCCGAGGTGCGCGGCGCTGGCGGGGGAGCCCCATCCCCATGGTGCGCGTCCGAGGAAGGGCTCTCGGCGGAGGAGCCTGGTCTGTAATCCTGGCACTCGTGCCTCCGGTCGCTGCCTGCCGCTTGCTCCTGGGGCTCTGGATAATCTCCCTTGGCTCTACGGCACTGTCTGGCCCGCGCTCAGGGCCCCCGTAACATATACCCGCTGCCGCGATCGCAGGGAGCTGTGGCGTTGCCACTGAATGGATGGCACTGTGCCAACTCCGCTGCCATCCGCCCTTGCAGCTCTTTTCCTCCCTCCTCCCTCCCGCTCTCCCCTCCTCCTCCTCCTCCCGTCGACTTGATGTTAATTAACACACGGGTTAATTGATTTTAAAAGCTGAAGAATTACAGTTAAGTTTTCCCACAGGGTCCGGCCGCCTGGCACGCTGCG